GAGTGTGATTATGATATGCCTTGGTGATTTTCTTTTGGGGTCTATCCTATATCGGGTTCGTTGAGCTTCTTGGATGGCCAGCTTTTTATCTTTCATAATATTGGGGAAGTTTTCTGTCAGCAGTTCTTCAATGATCCTCTCTGTGTTTTCTGTTTTCTCCCCGTTCTGGAATTCCAGTCACTCGCAAATTTTTGCTTTTTATTGTATCCCACATAACTCTTAGGGTCTCTTCATTTTTCTTTGTTTTTTTTTCCTGAGTTTTCCTCAAACAGAGTTGTATCCAAGTGTTCATCTTCAATTCCATTGATCCTGTCTTCCACCGTTTCAGATCTGCTTCTCAGCCCTTCTATGACACTGTCCATTTCTGAAATCTTGTTGTTTATCTTTTTGATTTTTAATTGTTGTTTTTGTATAATTTCTAGTTGTGAATTTATTTTGGCATTTTGTTCCTTCATTATTTTCCTGAATTCTTCCAATTTTTTGTCTGTATTTTCCATGAATTTGTCTGCCTTTTCCATGAATTGGTGTATTTTTTCCTCATTTTTGTCTGGTTTTGCTTCAACTCTTGGATAATTCTGATTATTAGAGATTTGAATTCCCTGTCAGGTAGTTCTAATGCCTTTTCTTCCACTGGAAAATCATACGGTGTTTTATTTTGGAAGCCTGCTGGAACCATCCTGTCCTGGTTTTGTAAATGTTTTGATATTGTCTGCGGTCTTCGGGGCATTCAGTAGTTATTTTTCTCATTTATTGATTGTAGATCTGTTTGTTTCATCCTTTTTTTTTTTAAATTTGGCTATGTCTGAACAGGCAGGCTATGTGTTCTTTGTTGTTTGCTCGTCTGTGAGCACGATACTTTTCGCCTCCTTCTCCAATTGGCAGGGTCAGTCACTCAGATATGATACGGCAGGGCATGTCCAGCTGCAGAGGAGTTATTGGGACGTGTCGTTTGTGACACATAACTACAGCCACCAGGGCGGGTCAGTTATCAGTGCAGGGCAGGTTCCGGTAGGCCATGCCTGTGCTGCTTGGTGGTGTGATGTTAAGTGCACGGTGCAGGTAGGCAGAATGCAGGAGGAGAGTGTTACGTGTGGAGCTAAAATGGATATGGGAGAGAGGAGAGAGGAACAGGAGCCAAAAAACACACAAACAAAAAATAGTGCTAGGGGAGCTTGCCGCGAGTATGATATGGAGAAAAACAAAAAAGGGGAAGAAAAAGAAAAAAGAAAAGAATGAATAAATAAAAATCAGAAAGGAAAAAGAACAGCAAAGCTCCCAGCGATCCCACCGGTGCGGCTGTGAGGTTTCGGGAATTGTTCTCAGGTGTTGCAGTACAGCCTGGCTAGAAGGCGTAGAGGTATTCAGCGCCAGGTATTCAGGGAACAGAAAGAGAAGGAAGGTATAGAGAGATGAGAAACTGAGTAATGAAGAAAGGGAAAAAGAGGGAAAAGAAAACAAAACAAATTTAAGGAAAAAAAAAAAAACAAGAAAAGCCCCCAAAAAACAGAAAAAAAAAAAAAAAACCCCATGAGAAAGAAATGCCCTCAGGGGTCCCTCTGCGCAAACCAAGGGTGTAGGTCCCAAGCCGTGCAGCACTGCCCAGCCAGAACGGGCTCCCAACTCAAGAAAAGGAAAAGAAAACAAACAAAAGCCCCAGGATCCCACCAGTTTGGCAGCCCAGACTGGGAAGGAGTTCCACGCTTGAATGGAGCTCAGCAGCCCCTCAGGAAGAAGCAAAGATGGCGTATGGAGCCAGGTATTTGAGCGAAAGGAGCAGGAGGTGGTGAGAGGTAAGGAAGAAATCAAAAGAAGCGGAAGGGAAAAAAGCAACGCCAGCAGCCAGCAAATGGCACTCAGGGAGTCAGCCAGTGCGGGCAGGTGGAATCCAAGCAGCCGGCGCTTCCCAACCAAGAGACTGTGGCCGCGGGAAGCAGAGGAGGCCGAGTGGTGGTGAAGAAGTGATGGGGGTGGAAAAGCGTATATCGCAAATTACTGGTTGTTTTGTCTCCTGCTGGAAGCTCCATGAAGCTGCTTTTTCATACCCCCTATTTGCTGGTCTCTGATACGAGTCCCGGATCGCGGATCCATGCTGTGTTAGCTGGTAGGGGACCTCTGCATGAATCTCCCCTCGCTCTCTGTTCTCTGTCAGTTTTCTCACTCCATTTGGTGCTTGGCTGAGTTCTTTATCTCTTCATTTGATGTTTCAGGCTTTCAGGATTGCTGTTTTCTCTGCCGTAGTTTTTCGGATCTTTGCTGTGGAGGGACGGCGTGGTATTTCTGCCTAGAGCACTGTTGTGCCGGAAGTCCTTTGTGATGTTTTTTAACCAGTCCATCTTACTTTCACCTTTCAAATCCCACAGATGTTATTTTCTGTCATTCATTTGGAAATAATTATGCATTGCCTTGTAATATATTGTATTGTTTCAAACTGTTACGCATTTCTTATATTGTTTAACTTGTCATTTACTGATTTCTTGTTTTCTTTCCAACTAAATTGTAAATTCCTTGAGGGCAAGGACCAAATTTTTAATGTGTTTCTATCCTCTACTACACTTAAACCTTAAATCAGTACACCTACTTTCCACTCATCAACTATCTTGTTATCTGACATTTTGCATACAACAATAGTAAAAGATCTGCTGTCGAACTATTACGTGTATTAATGACGTACGTCTGGCAGTAATAAACACTGAGGTGCAAGGTGGAAGTAACTCTGGCTATGATGGTTAACGTTATGTGTCAGCTTGGCTGGGCAGTGATTCTCAGTGGTTTGGCAGTTATGTAATGATGTGCTCATCCTCCATTTTCGCATAACAACTTGGTCTTGGGAACCTAATAACCATGTCGATAAGTGAGGAGTTGAGTGTATTTTATTCTACAGAAATATTTTAATATTTCTTTACTTTCAGATTTTACTAGTAGAATGATCCAGAGCTAGTGTTACATAGTTAACATTTAATAACTACTTGACTAGTGTAAGGACTCACCATATTACTTTTTGTGTTTGTTTTTAAGAACTCATTTTAAGACTGAAGTTCAAGTATCTATAATAACTGAGTTGCTCATATGTAATAAAATCCTTTTAATATATTATTTATCTTCACTATTCTAAGTGTGATCAGTAGAAAGAGTCTAAATTGACTAGTAGTCCAGAGGATAATGATATGAGAATGTTTAAATGGTTGTGGGTCATCTTTACTACATAAGACATGTACCCCAGTTCATTATAGGTGAATCAAAAGTATATTTCTTACAAAAGGATCCTAGGACTGATGCCTAAAATGTTTGCAAATCTCAGTGCATATTGCTTCCCTTTTCAATAAAATTAATGTGTGCTGCTTAGTGAATTTTAATCATGGATTTTGGGCTTACCATATAATAAACATAGGTGCAAATACATTCATTATATTCAGAGTTTAAATCTGTATAAGTTAATAAATTAAAAACCTGTTGCCATCAAGTCAGTTGTGACTCATAGCGACTTTATAGAGTAGAGCTGCCCCATAAAGTTTCCAAGGCTGTACTCTTTACAGAAGCAGACTGCCACATCTTTCTCTGCAGAGCAAACCGCTGACCTTTTGGTTAGCAGCTGCGTACTTAACCACTGTGCTGCCTGGGCTCCTTTAGTTAATAAATTAGGTCGTTTAATTCAGGTTAACTTTGTGCTAGACATTACACCTTTGTCTTTACTGAACTGAAAGTCTAGTATAGGATGATACATGACAGTACAAAATCCAGGCACCTTGTCGTTTTAGGATCATAACCTGAAACATAAATAGGATACTATTGCGGGGGGTGGTGTCTTTAAAAAAAGATTTTTTTTTTTTTTTGTTAATATACACAGAACATATACCAACTCAACAATTTCTGCATGTACAGTTCAGTGACATTGATTACATTATTTGAGTTGTGCGACCATTTTCACCCTTTTTCCAGTTGTTCTTCCCATATTAACATAAACTCCCTGCTCCCTAAGGTTCCTCTCTAATCTTTTGAATTGCTATTGTTAGTTTGATCTCATATAGATGGTTCTTAAAAGAGCACAATGCTCAAGGCAGACATTCTTTACTAGTTAAGCTAAACTATTTGGTTTTAATAAGACTGCAGGGGATATTTTTGGCTTAAAGGTTAAAGATTATCTCAGGCCAGTAGTTTCAGGGGTTTATCGAGCCTCCATGGCTCCAGAAAATCTGGATTCCATGAGAATTTGAAATTCTGTTCTGTATTTTCCCCCCTTTGATCAGGATTCTTCTATAGATTCTTTGACCAAAATGTTCAGTATTGGTAGCCGTGCACCATTCAGTTCTTCTGGTCTCATAACAAAGGAGGCCACACTTCCATTTCCTCCTCCTATTCCTGACTCTCCTTCTTCTGTGCACCAGGCAAACAGAGAGCAATTATCATGCCTTGGATGGCAGATTGCAGGCTTTCAAGACCTCAGGCACTATGCAGTCAACTAGGAGGTAGAACAGAAGTACTGAACACATTATTAGGCCAGTTAATTGGGATGTCCCATGAGACCATGATTCTAACCTCCAAACCAAGGAACCAAATCCGGTGAAGTGTTTGGTTGTACATAAGCAGCATCAGCAAATACTCTTTTTTTTTTTCTGTTGTTGTAAATGTATCTTATCACACAACTTTTGCCATTTCAACTACATAGATACTATTTAAAAAAAACAGCAAGCAAGTATATTTAGGAGTTTTATGTTAAAGACACTTTATATGTCATCTAATAGACAACACAAGTCAACAGACTGTTCAAATGATTATGATACAGTCACGTACTTAACAGAACTCTTAACTACATGTGTGTTCTACCAGTAGGAAATGGTTTTTCCCAGCATAATTAAATGCTTCCTTTTAATTATGTTAATGAATTTATAATAAATTTCTATCATTGTTTTTAAAGGAAACACAACCTATTTATGGGAGTTTCTTTTGGATCTACTTCAAGATAAAAATACTTGTCCTCGGTATATTAAGTGGACTCAGAGAGAGAAAGGCATATTCAAGCTCGTGGATTCAAAGGCTGTCTCTAAGCTTTGGGGAAAGCATAAGAACAAACCAGACATGAACTATGAAACCATGGGACGAGCTTTGAGGTAAGAATACAAATGAGTTAGTAGTGAAACCAAACTTAAATCTCTCTATATTTATTAGCTATTTAAAGAGAAGCTCTAAAAAATCCCGTATTTATTATAATTTTTAACTTATAGAGATATTCTAGAGGTGCTTCTTGGATTTGGAGGTAGATGATGGGTGGAGAGGAGTTTGGTCTAGATGTCTAAAATTTCAACATCATTGAAAATCACCCCCCCCCCGCACACACACACACATACAGAAATGTGCTTTTGCATTTAGGAGTATTTCTTAAAATTAAGTTGTGTAGGCCTTAAAAAAAATTAAACTGAAATGGAATAGAGTTTGCAGATTGTTAATTTGCTTTATATTTCTTGCAAGTTTGTGTGAAACATATTTTATTTGACATGAAACTTTCTCTTAAGTTTTGTCAGTTTGAAAAATGCACCAAACTCTTTCATTGTAATGTGTATTCCTTCTAATGAAGGATGTTTGTAAGTGAACACATAGTTTACGTGATAGCACTCATATCCCACAGATTCATCTCTGCTAAGCATAGCTTAGGTAATTTTTCCACATAACATCAGATTGTTTTTATAACTTGTGTAAATCAGAATTAAATGTCTACCAGTGTCAGTAAGATACAGTGAAATATTCTAAAGTTGGGTTAAAGTATGTCCTTTAACAGAGAGAATGTACTTTTAGCTACTTTATAGATCTCAAGGTTATAGGACCGAAGATACTACGTTCAAATTTCATTCCTATTCTAAATCCTTAGCATTTTCAGCAATCAAGGCAGTAAGAACTGCTTTTTCATCTTTTATAGGAATAAGTAATAATAAGTGTCTACTTCACATGACCTTTTTTTTTTTTCTTTTAAAGTTTAGGCAGTACAGGAATCATACCCACTAACCACTAGATTAAAAAAAGTCCACAAGCAGAGACCATCTGGAATCCTTTTTATTCCTATGAAAATAGCATTAGTATTGCTTTATATTGCATTTGAGTTATAGTGATGATATCTTAGGTATATAGATAACTATAGTTATTTGCCAGGATGATGTAATATCAGCGTTCCTATTGCATAATTTATGGAAATTACTTTTAAGAATGGGCCGAGTAATATGTGTAATTTATTATTCTAAAAATAAGTTCACAATTCAGTTATCCCATTTAATTTGAGGAAAAGAAACCTTTTTTTCCTTGCCCTTGCCAAGCTTTCATATTTTTAAGATGTACAGAAAATAGGAATATATGCCTGAACTAAAAGGGCTGAGTTCAGTGGAGTTTAAGGATATTAAAGTTTAAGGCCAATTATTGTGTTGGCTTTGGGTCTCTTCTGCATAGAACACATTTCATATCTTAAACAATGGGATTTAAGAGGATACTTTTTTTTTTAATTGTATTTTAGATGAAGATTTTACAGAACAAATAGTTTCTCATTAAACAGTACACATATTGTTTTATTACAATGGTTAACAACCCCACGACATGTCAGTACTCTCCCTTCTCAACCTTGGGTTCCCTATTACCAGCTTTCTTGTCCCCTCCTGCCTTCTAGTCCTTGTCCCTGGACTGTTGTGCCCCTTAGTCTCATTTTGTTGTATGGGGCTGTCTGATCTTTGGCTGAACGGTGAACCTTGGGAGTGACTGAGCTAAAAGGGTGTCCAAGGGCCATACTCTCGGGGTTTCTCCAGTCTCTGTCAGGCCATTAAATCTGGTCTTTTTTTGTGAGTTAGAATTTTGTTCTACATTTTTCTCCAGCTCTGGCTGGGACCCTCTGTTGTGATCCCAGTCAGAACAGTCAGTGGTGGTAGCTGGGCACCATCTAGTTGTACTGGACTCAGTCTGGTGGAGGCCATGGTAGTTGTGGTCCATTAGTCCTTTGGACTGATCTTTTCCTTGTATCTTATTTTCTTCATTCTCCCTTGCTCCCGAAGGGATGAGACCAGTGGAGTATCTTAGATGACCGCTCACAGGCTTTTAAGACCCCAGACACTACTCACCAAGGTAGAATGTAGAACATTGTCTTTATGAACTGTATTATGCCAGTTTAGCTAGATGTTTCCAGAGACCATGGTAAGAGGACACTATTTTTGGCTCTTGTATCCATATTAGAATTTGTATAAAACCAGATAAAATTGATAAAAATAAAGTAGTACACTTGTATTGAAAACAAAACAATAAAATGGCTCATTTAGTAATTTTTCCCTCTGCAGATACTACTACCAAAGGGGAATTCTTGCAAAGGTTGAAGGACAGCGGCTTGTATATCAGTTCAAGGATATGCCCAAGAACATCGTGGTCATAGATGATGACAAAAGTGAAGCCTGTAATGAAGATTTAACAGCAGCTACTGATGAAAAATCAATAGAGCGAGTGTCACTATCTGCAGAAAGTCTCCTGAAAGCGGCAACCTCTGTTCGTGGTGGAAAAAATTCATCTCCTCTAAACTGCTCCAGAGCAGAGAAGGGTGTAGCTCGAGTTGTGAATATCAGTTCCCCAGGTCATGACGCTTCATCCAGGTCTCCTACTACCACAGCATCTGTACCAGCAACAGCAGCTCCAAGGTGAGGTGTAAACCATTAGCTGTAGTACTGAGTTTATCTTTTAGAAGGCTCCTTAGTAAAAATGAAATGTCCCTTCTTAAAATATATTAGCATTCTAAGAACTCACTATTGCCAAGATTTTGAAAAGTGCTTTCTATTTTAAATGTATATGTTGATGCTGTTGAAGTTGATGTCTTAGCTAATCTGAATTGGTTTTTATGGTTTTCTAGAAAGAGTTTCATGTATGCTTTAGTTTTTATACATTTCATGGTATTTCTTGTTGTAAAGTTTAAGGATTGTCAGTACATCTGTAAAATTTGGGAGCACTAGTTTTGTACATTTTCAATTTGCATTCAGCTTCTTGTTTTAAGAGACTGATTTTCTAATTTAGCATTAAATATAATCAACTTTTCTTTTTCCTATTAGGACAGTTCGTGTGGCAATGCAAGTACCTGTTGTAATGACATCGTTGGGTCAGAAAATTTCCACTGTGGCAGTCCAGTCAGTTAATGCAGGTGCACCATTGATAACCAGCACTAGTCCAACAACAGCAGCCTCTCCAAAGGTGGTCATTCAGACAATCCCTACTGTGATGCCAGCTTCCACTGAAAATGGAGACAAAATCACCATGCAGCCTGCCAAAATTATCACCATCCCAGCTACCCAACTTGCACAGTGTCAGCTGCAGACAAAGTCAAGTCTTACTGGGTCAGGGAGCATTAACATTGTTGGAACCCCATTGGCTGTGAGAGCACTTACGCCTGTTTCCTTAGCTCATGGTACACCTGTAATGAGACTATCAGTGCCTGCTCAGCAGGCGTCTGGCCAGACTCCTCCCCGAGTTATCAGTGCCGTCATAAAAGGGCCAGAGGTTAAATCAGAAGCAGTGGCAAAAAAGCAGGAACATGATGTGAAAACATTGCAGCTGGTACAAGACGAAAAGCCGGCAGATGGAAATAAGACAGTGACCCACGTAGTGGTTGTCAGTGCGCCTTCCGCTATTGCCCTTCCCGTGACTATGAAAACGGAAGGACTAGTGACATGTGAGAAATAAAATAGCAGCTCTGCCACAGACTGTTGGTGATTGGTTAAACAGTGCTGACATAAATATTTGCAAGGAGATCATCAAGAAAAGTCAAAAGAAGACTTTAAAACATTTTTAATGCATATAAAAACAATCAGACTTACTGGAAATAAATTACCTATCCCATGTTTCAGTGGGAAATGAACTACATACTGAGATGCTGACAGAAAACTGCCTCTTACTATAGGAAACAACTGAATCCGTCAACAAGAAAAAGGACTGAAAGGGACCAAGCAGCTCACTACAATATCAAGTTACACTAAGACTTGGAACACTAAAATTCTGTAAGAGGTTACGTAGTTTTCAGTGGGGAGGGGTTGGGATGGGTGATCTCATTGTTACATAGAGCAATTTTTGATGCATTTTATATGCATACCAGCAATTATTACTGTGTTCGCACAGTACTCACTTAACTGGTGCTATGTGAAGACTCTGCTAATATAGGTATTTTAGAATGTGAATTGAAGGATGGATCCAAAAGCTTCAGAAAGAGGATAGCAAAAAAGATCTAGTGTGATTTTTTTTTATATCATATAGCTTAAGCTGATTTAAAACAAAGGCCTTAGACTAATTTTCGGTTTTCTTTCATGAAATAAGCTAATGGCTTGTTTGTGTAAAGCTTTTTTATTAAAAGAAAAAATTTTAAAAATCTTGTACCTAGCACAGTATTGTTATAGAATTTACATGTAACATTTTTATATGGTAGTTTAAGTCTGTCATTTTCTTAATTGTGGACAAATTAACAGTTGGCTCTGGCCTTTTGCTGTAACATGCCTGTGTCACTCACTTAGCCCTGGCATCTGTGCAGACATATCAGTTTCTGTTCTTCTGTCACTTGGAAGTTCAGGCTCAGCATGAATTTTTGTCAGGTAGCTCTCAAACCTGGAGTTTTCTTTCTTTCTTTTTTTTTTTTTTAGTTGAAGTTTAAGAGGGAAAGTACCAGTGTTCAGATTTGAACTATAATAGTTTGTATATTCAACATTTGAAGTATATTCTATTTTGTTGTACTCTTGTTTCAAAGTGTATTCAAGTAGGTTTTCTGAAATATAGAAATGAAATTTATCTTGTGTTTTGGTCTCTGGTGGTATTTATAATAATAATCAAAAGCCAATATGGAGAGACTGTTTTAGTTAAGAAGTAATAGAAGTCCTATTTTTCCTTCCCAACTACCGTGTGAGGAAGTTCTACTCCTGTTTTGTTCCTTTACATTAATATTTGGCAAATACCTGTATGTTGCCACTTCCTGATAATTATCTTGAACTATATGAAATTCTAGTTACTATAATTAATTTAGTAATTTAGTTGGCCACACTTAAAGAATTTATATTTATAAAACACTTTCAAATCAGATCATTTGTTTCTCAAGCAATCGTTTGAAGGTTAGAAAGAACAAGTACAGTTGTGTGCCACATAGTATCTTGTTTGGTTAGGGCAACATCCTACCACATATATGTCTGTGGTCCCAACCCTGGTAAAACCTATTATATTAAAAATTCAAGGTACATACAACGTTCATAATAACAAATGGGCACTACTTTGCTACATGCATCAAAACATTATCGTTACTATTACTGTATTATGTTAAAGATGTTTTAGTATATGTGGCAGTGTTTCTTTAATGTTTCTTATGCATAGAAAGTTACACTGTATACCACATACTAAGACAAACATTTGACTAACTGATATTTAGATACAAACCATACTGTTAACAGTTTACATACAAATTCGACTTAAAGACAGATTTAGGGACAAAAATTTAGGAATGGAACTCACTCGTAATCCAGGGACTGCCTGTATATAATATGGTGTTCACATAATGTCCTGTTTCACAGAATGTATCATGGACATTAAGTGACACATGACTGTAATACTCTACCCTTTTTACAGAATAGGAAATTGAGGTACCAGAGATTAAATGAAATTTCCAGATTTCATACAAAGCTAGGTCCTGTGGCTCCACATTTTAATGCCCTTTCTACTACAAATAAAAGTTGTCTATTTTTCACATCTTTTAAAAATTTAGATAAACGGATACTTAATATCTTCTTGCCTTTAATTGTGCATTTGATCAGACGTTGTTAGTTGCCATCAAGTTGATTCCAACTCATGGAGACCCCATGTGGGCAGAGTAGAACTGCTCCCGTAGGGTTTTCAAGGCTGTGACCTTTCGGAAGCAGATCACCTGGCCTGTTTTCCGAGGTGTCTCTGGGTGGGTTCCAGTCACCAGTCTTTCAGCTAGTTGTAGAGTACTTAACCGTTTAAGCCACCCAGGGACTCCTTGATCAGATACTACTTCAGTCCAGTTAGGTCAGCTAAGATTTTTATAACAGCACCCTTTACGGTCTTTTACCTTTTATATAAACATACCTGATGATACTCTTTTAATAAAGCTTAAAGAAAAACTCAGTTGATTCTTATCCCATTTGGGTTAAGATTTCAAAATCTGTACTATATGCTTTGGCACTTAATTGTATTTTGTACTGTGCTTTCATTTGTTCTGTCATGTCTTCCGCAATACTCCTTTAAGGCAAAGATTATATTTTAAACCATATCTACCTTCCTCCCCGAGTTTGGAACATATTAGACACTCAGACATTTATTGATTTTGGTAACATAGTTGCTAAGAATCTAGCTCATGCTATGGATATTTAAATTTTTAGTGAGTAATTCTTTCCTTTTATGCTCTGTTCTTAATTGGTTCTCATTAAGTTAAGCCAGGCGTACCTAGCTTACCTCCACTGCTTTACCTGAAAAATGTTCTGCCTCTCTTTAGCATAAGTACATATAAAGTCTAAATTTGGAAATATGTATGTTGGCAGTACATGCCGATCAGTGTTAACTGCTAACTGAAATTATGCAGTGGTTTGGCTTTTAATCTCAAGCCCTCCAAACGGTAGTGTATATCAATATAACCATACATGTGCTTTGTGCCCAGCATAAACACAGCCATGGGTTGATGCCATGACATTTTCCAGCCTCACCAGGGCTTTAAACAACGATTAACAGTCTGTCTATATATGCCTTAGGTCATTTTCCAGCAATAATTCCAGCCTTCACTATTCTCCTTAGAGGCCATCTTACCCTCTCAAAAAATGACCAGTACACTTCTTTACAGAGAACGTGAAGGCCCTGAGCTGCATATTCCTTAATTTCTGGACCCCGTGCTACAGAGCGTCTACTTACTCTAGCATCCATCCTTACCACCTGTCTCAGGAAGGAGGTGTCCTCCTGTACTCATCATCTCCTCCCCTTCCACACCTCCTTTGTCTCCTTCTTCCAACAGTTCCTAGACCATCATTGTCCTGTCTCTTCAGCTAATAACCAACAAGTCTGATTTCTGGCTCGGAAGACCTCATTGAGGTCTCCAGCAACCCAGTTGCCAAATCAGACACACTTCATTTTCTCATGTGATCTCACATCTCACCTACTTCTTAAAACTCTCCTTTGGTTTTCCATGACATTCCTCTTCCCATTTGCTTCCTACTTGGCTGACTCTTCTTAGTCTACTTTGCTTCCCTTTAGCGTTCCCTTTAATGTTAGTACTTAACAGGGTTCTGTCTGTGGGTTTTTTCCCTCATAGGGTTGTTGTAAGGATTAAATGGGTTAAGAATTTAGAACCAGTGCCTGGCATATAGCAAGTACTATATAAAATATTTACTACTGTAATTTCACTTTAACATAATTGATAGTCTCATCCAGGCCTGTGGTTATTGCTACCAAATCTGTTGTTCCAGCCTAAACCTTTTCTTGGAGTCTTAGGTTGCCTACTGGCCAACTCCTCATGAATATGCAACTGAACTCTCTTCCCTCTAAAATCTGTTCTCTTATACTTCCTTAGCTCAGTAAATGACATTACTAACAACCCATTATTCGGGCCAGAGGAAACCTGAGAGTTGTTCTAGATATCTTACCTGTATATCCAGTCATTCACAAAGTCCAATTGATAGTACTTTCTAAACACCTCCCTTTCCGATTCTCCCTACCCTTATTCCCTTACAACTACCCTGTAATCCATTCTCCGTGCTACCAGCCGAGAGCTTTCTAAAAAACGCAAATATCAGTGACTTTGTTCCTTAAATTCTTCAATGGTATCTCTTGCTGAAAAGATAAGAATCCAAAGCATAGCTTTTAGAGTCCTTTGGTCTGGCCTCTGCCTATCTCCCTAAATCTCATTCTCTCGCTGCTCCTGTTTTAATAGGCATCTCTGGGCTACAGACATACCGAAATACTTCATTTTCTCAAATGTTTCAGGCATCCATCGTTCATTGAGCCTTTCCATTGATGACTTCACTCCAGACAACTCTTTCCTCCTTCACCTAGATTTGAGTTTGGTTTTATTCCCTGAATTGAAGGCTATAGACATCAAAGCAAAAATTTCTGAAATAGGGTTGGAAAGAATTCAGGATGGGTAGTAGTCTACTCCAAGAGAACTCGTGTATAAAATATAAAGTATATAAAGACAAGGGATGGGAGAGGAGTATTCATAGAAAATCAACAGGACAGATGAGGGAGTGGTTGGGCAACGCTCTCAAGGGCAGCAGGGAGGGCAAAGCAAAGGCCACAGACTGTCGATAAAGACAGTGTCAAGGAGGGCAGCTCCAGAGGGGGTGGGGATGAGGCCTCTGGCACGTTGCTAGTAGCTTGCCTCTGACACTGCATACTTCACTCAGGAATGTACATTTCTGACCATTGTATACAAACAAATTGTTTTATTACTGGTAATCGGATAAACTTTCCAAAGACAAAATTTTGGGCTTAGGGTTATTTGCAAAGTCTCTGATGATTCTGGTCTTCTCTGAGGGCACTCCAGAGCACATGATTTTTGGGAGGCAAGAGTAACCCTACTTCAGCCCCACAGCTATCAATGCGACTTGCCCCTGTATTAGTCTGTAGCCATTCACAGTACTCCAGATCCTTCAGTACTTCTAAAGTACTTCTGTACTTCAACCCCCTTGTTACAATCATTGTCCCCAATAATTAAAACCTAGTATATTCTTTATTTTTTCCCCATACAAAAATTTATACATACACTGTTAAGTGACTCTAGTTGCTCTCCCCATTTCTGTGACAGCACACTCCTCCTTTCCACCCTTGATTCCCCGTGTCCATTCAACCAGCTCCTAATCCTCTCTGCCTTCTCATCGCACCTCCGGACAGAAGCTGCCCGTTTAGTCTCATGTATCTCTACTTGAGCTAAGAAGCACACTCTTCACGAGTATCATTTTATGGCCCACAGTCCAGTCCAATCTTTGTATGAAGAGTTGGCCTCAAAAACTGTTTTAGTTCTGGGCTGATAGAGAATCCGGGGACCATGCTTTCCGGGGTTCCTCCAGTCTCAGACCATTAAGTCTGGTCTTTTTACTAGAATTTGAGTTGTGCATCTCACCTTTCTCCTGCTCCATCAGGGACTCTCTGTTGTGTTCCCTGTCAGGGCGGTCATTGGTGGTAGCCGGGCACCATCTAGTTCCTCTGGTCT